CATTCATTACAAGGGAGGCACAAGAACCCAGCCGTCGCTACAGCATTGCCAATGATATGTTGCTGTGGAATACTCCTTAGATATATTGTGAATAGTTGAGTCATAGGTCAAATCGGGTCGAAATTTCCCGTTTTCTGTTCGATCTCCGTCTGATTCGCCAACAAAAGAAAAAAATAAATAAAGATATTTACACAGTTGACCGATAGAAACGATATTATATCTTTCTTTTTTCTATTTTCTTCCCTTTTTATTAGATATTAGATAAACACGATTTTATCTTAATCTCTTTCCGTTTATTTTTTTCCCCGTTTTCTTTCTCCTTTTGTTTCAAGTCGCAGTGTTGCCAACGACGCGCGCCCCGAATTTATGGCGAAACGCCCTGCTTCTTCGCTAATTCGGCCAGAAGCCTTAACTAACAAGTGGGTCACGTGACACGTACGGCCACCTAAACAAACCGTTCGTGGAATGCCATCTAACCCGCCCGTAAACCGCGTGGAGGAACGGCAGCGTGGATTGAATCATTTTTCGGATTTAGTTTTCTTTCTTTCTCTTTGGTTCTATGTCTGTTTTTGTCTGTCTCTACGTCTGTATGTTTCTACGTCTCTCTTTTCGTCTGCCTTTTTCTCTCTGTCTGCTGTCCTGCTTTTTTCTCTTTCTTTTCCCCTCTTTTCTTGCTCTCTTTCTCTCTCTCTCTCTCTCTCTCTCCTCTCTCTCTCTCCTCTCTCTCTCTCTCATCTCTCTCTCTCTCTTCTTTCCCTTTCTCTTTCTCTCTCCTCTCTCTCTCTCTCTCTCTCTCTCTATCTCTCTCTCTCTCTCCTCTCTCTCTCTCTCTCTTCTCTTCTCTCTCTCTTCATTCTCCTCTTCTATCTCTCTCGCCTCTCTCTCCTCCATCCTCTCTTCTTCTCCCCTCGTCTCTCTCGTATCTCTCTCTCATTCTCTACTCTCTCTCGTCTCTCTACTAAATCAATCATCCCTAATTATCATAAAGAAATTGATTCACAAAATACTGATTATTGACTATGAAATAACAAAATACTGATAAGAATGATAAACAAAACAATACAACTTGATATATACATAACGACAAAACATGAATATATTCATTATAAATATCATGAGAAAACAAAACAATAACAAAAATAACGACTCAAAAAAACTTTTAAAAAAATATAAGAAACATTTGCACTAACAATTAAAAACAATTCAATTAAAATTAAGAAATTTTTTAAGTTTTGCAAAAAAAAAATCTCGAAATCAAACATTTTTTTCCCTCTCTTCATTCTCTTCGTCTCGAGAGTTCCGTCGAAGAGAGAGAGAGAGAGAGAAGAGGCAAAACCTGATAAATAAATAAACAAAAAGGGACTCTAAGTTTTATTTTTCATCAACTATTCCTTTTCAATTCGAGAGAGAGATTTTCCCCTGGCAGCAATTAAGAACGATAAATCATAATGAAAAAAAAGACAAAACTTATTACAAAGTTGAGAGTTTCCTTCTCGAGAGCGGGAGAGAGAGGGGGTCATTGAGTGTTGGGGGGGGGGGGGAGGTGTGTGTGTGTGTTGTTGTGTGTGTGTGTTATTGGTGTGGAGGGGTTAATGTGCCTGAATGATTGTGTGTTGTGTGGTATGTGATGTGGTGTGTGTGTGGTATGGGGGTGATGTGGTGTGGTGTGTGTGGTATGGGGTGATGTGGTGGTGTGTGTGGTGGGGGTGATGTGTGTGTGTGTGGTATGGGGGTGATGTGTGGTGTGTGTGGTGGGTGAATGTGTGTGTGTGTGTGGTATGGGGGTGAATGTGTGTGTGTGTGTGGTATGGGGGGTGTGTGTGGTGTGTGTGGTGGTATTGATGTGGGTGTGTGGTGTGTGTGTTGTGTGTGGATGGGGTGATGTGTGTGTGTGTGGTATGGGGTGATGTGTGTGTGTGTGTGGTATGGGGGTGATGTGTGTGTGTGGTGTGGTATGGGGGTGATGTGTGTGTGTGTGTGGTATGGGGGTGATGTGTGTGTGTGTGTGGTATGGGGGTGATGTGTGTGTGTGTGTGGTATGGGGGTGTGATGTGATGTGTGTGTGTGTGGTATGGTGGGTGATGTGTGTGTGTGTGTGTGGTATGGGGGTGATGTGTGTGGTGTGTTGTGGTATGTGATGTGTGTGTGTTGTTAAATTGATGTGGAGGGGAGTTAGTGCGTGTGTGTTTTGTGTGTGGTGTGTGTGTGTAAGTGTGTAGGGGGTGGGTGGGTGGGTGATGTGCGTGTGTGTTAATTGGTGTGGAGGGAGTTAAAGTGTGTGTTTCTGTGTGTGTGTGTGTGTTGTGTGTGTGGGGGTTGGACCTAGGGCGTAGTGATGTGTTGTGTGAAGTGTGTGTGTGTGTGTGTGTGTGTGAATGAGTGTGCGAATGACTTTGTATCTATATCTTCTTATTTCTGTGTGTGTGTGTTGGCCTGAGTATCTAAGCAAAAATCAAGTTGTTCGACGTGGAGATATGTATCCGACCTTAGAATATGCCTT